GGCTCTCTTTATTTTTATTTTTGTATTTGATTCCTCAGTGTTTGCTAAACGTTCTGTAGTTTATTAGTCGGTATATAATACAGTACGTGGTGTATGCCATGCCTCATCTTATTCGTTTTTGTTAATAAACGTTTTGTAAGCTATTATTTCAATGTATCTTACTGTTTTATAGTTGTTGTGCTTTTTAATTTAATTTAGTCTTAAAAAGTGAAAGGTGTTTACGTAGATGTAAGCAAAACAGACAATTAACTTTTATATTTTCTTGATAAACTTGACAACAAGATCACAAATTCTAAAGTGAAAGCACCCAAAGCCCGGCTTATAACATTGCAAAATAGGAACTCCCGTTCACAAAATTCAAATCACAAATAGGGTAAACGTACTTAAGCTCACGTACCCATTAAGCACACTTCCATATTTGAGCTCAGATTATGAAAAGAAAAAATAATGTATTATCATACTTGATGTCTTAAATTGATGTGTTTGTTACTACATAGCTCCTGTAATTTCAAATAAATCAGATTATTGCACACTGAGATATGGGTCTCCATGTGTTCACACTGTCTGGTGGCCATTTTGAAAGCTGTCTAAAAACTTTCACTAAAAGAGGAGCCCTTTAAATGTGCATTTTAAAGATATTTAAGCCTTTATTTTGGGTAAGTTTCACTACTTGTTTAGTCTAATGTTTAGACTATTGAATATTATAACCTGGAGCTTGGATGTGGGAAATAATTAGTTAGATCCAAAAGATAGTGTTAGCAACACAGCACAGATGCTACAGAACACAGTTAGCTGACTAGCTGTATACGATTGTGTGCTACGCTAATAAATTACTTCACAGGCATTACTGGCTTGTACTTTTACATCCATAATATTATAAATTGATAGTTTATTGCTGGTCTGTGGTTTTAAACTGCTGTTTTTTTTTTTTTTGTTTTTTTTTAAGATTTCATATTATTTTAAGGTGAGCTTAAAGGGTGTACTACTATGAAAATCACAGATCTTCAGTGTGACATCAATAAGAAAAAGTATAATTTCATAGATATTGTTAATAGTAGTTGTTCATAATAAAATATGTATAAACTTAATACATGAGCTAGATTATTTATTTTGCAAAATCTTGTCATTTTAATAAATATTACATGAAATTTATTAAAAATAGTTTCTGCTCCCATTAAGCTCAGTGTGCTCTCTTTAAGCTCTTCCTCATTGAACGTCAATATAAATACTTCATAAATGAAATTGTTTCTGCTCCCATTAAGCTCAGTGTGCTCTCTTTAAGCTCTTCCACATTGAACGTCTATGTAAAGACTTTAAATATTAACTGATGGTTATCACTTTAAGTTAGTTAATTGATTTTCTATAGATTCTGTGAACTCAAATCTGCAGACTGGCTCTGACCTTTGGCAACTACTGTGAACTTCTCCAGACTGTAAATCAGTGGAAAATTGGGGCAAAAATTGTGTAGTGTATTCCAGCCTTAAGAGACGATAGATAAGTTGACATCCATTTAATAAGAGGCTTCATAATGAGGCTAGTTTCTGTGTTCTTCCCTGTGAATGAAATGTTTTATTGGTTTATTTTATTTTTGAATGTGTTACTTAGCTGAACATGGACTAGTCTAGATGTTGCAATTAGAGCCAGACCGATATGGGTTTTTTGGGACCGATACCGATATTAGGGAATAAAAAAAGGCAGATACCGATATATCGGCCGATATTCTTTGTGTATATTATAGTACAGTACCAGTCAAAAGTTTGGACACTTTCCCATTCGTGTGTCCAAACATTTGACTGGTACTATATATAGAATACAGCATAAACCGAATATATATACATAAACAAATATATATATATATATATATATATATATATATATATATATTTATTAACAAAATATTTTAGTTTGTCTTGTATATTTTTTCATTCGATCAGATAAGATTTTAAGCTGTCATATGGTCAAGTTACAACGTGCCCGTCAGATGTTACAATGTGTTCCACCTACGGGGCATGTTGTCACATTTCACTTACGTTTTTTGAGGGTAAATAAAGAAAAACGTATACACTGTAATTATGAAACAAAGCGACATATTTGTACTAGACAAGTGTAAAATTACCGTGGATAAAAAAATTAAAATATATTCTGAACCCCATGTGGATTTACACAAACTGAGAAAGTCAAAAAGTGTTACTTTGTGCCCCGCTCTCCCCTACCTCTGTAAATAAATACAATATAAATTCACGTCTCGCGCAATTTAATGTCGGTAGCCCCCCGGGATCGCTAGATCGTCGGCGCCGGACTGCAAATTTAACCACCCGTAACTTCCAAACCCCGGGGCCTATCCACGCGGGGGTGGTCTCATTCGAAAGAGGGCCTCGAGACGTACACTCAATTCGCGTTAGAGAGGTTTCCTTGAGCTGAAGAGATCCCCCGAATTTGGTGCGGATTCGCCACGCCGTTACAGAGATATGGCCGTTCAAAGTTTCAGTGGTTTTCCATTGACTTAAGCTTTAAAGCGTTTCATCCAGGTCGCCAGTAGCAAACAATAGAGTGCGCTCTGCTGGACAAACTAAGTAATTACACCATTTTATCTGCATTATATGTTCTGAAAAAAAAATTCATATCGGCGGCATATTCGCCGATACCGATATATCGGCGACAGGCTCATATCGGCCGATAATATCGGCAAAACGATATATCGGTCGGGCTCTAGTTGCAATGTGCTTAAATGACATTTCATGATGAATATATAACTGATCAAATTGAATGCCTTGTTGCTTGATTTTTGTGTTCTGTTTTTTTTTTGTGACTTTGTACATAAAAAAAAAATTCAATTATTCTTTAAAAAGGTTGTTTAAAATAAACAAGAATTTGTAATAAAACATGATGTGAGCTTAATGGGAACAGGGGTGTGCTTAAAGGGTACAAACATGTACCCATTAAGCACAGCCGGACTTTTTGCATTTAATGATGTATGTCTTAATTGAAATGCTTTTGTCATTTAAAATAAAATAAAATATTTTTGTGTGAGAGATTAATCTTTTATTTTAACGTAACTTTTTGTACTGATACCAATATCTTGTGCACTAAAAATTTCTCAATGTAGATTTTGGTGAGCTTAATAGGTACGTTTACCCTAATATTACTGATGGAAAAAGGCGGCGTTGAAAGTTAACCACTTTTGTTTCAATATAACTATGAACTATTATAAAATTCCATCAGCATGCATTGATTGACCAGCATGCATTGATGACCATGTTATAACGCAAAAAATAAATAAATAAAATATTGCGTCCAAATCATGTGCTCGTGAGACCAACTGAGAAACTTAGTCGCATAAAAGCGACCAGTGGGAAGAATGAGTCTGGAGCCCGGTGTAATTATATTCCATTACTCCCTTAATACATTTAATTCATGTCTACATTAACAATATAATAAAATTAGATATAAATATCCCACATTTCTGCCACAAC